AATGTTTAGATTTGCTTTTAAAAATTATAGGAATTTTCTTTCTTTCTTTCTTTCTTTCTTTCTTTCTTTCTTTCTTTCTTTCTTTTCTTTTCTTTCTTTCTTTCCTTTCCTTTCCTTTCCTTTTCTTCTTTTCTTTTCTTTTCTTTTCTTTTCTTTTCTTTTCTTTTCTTTTTTCTTTTCTTTTCTTTTCAGGATCTCCTGTTGCCTAGGCTGGAGTGCAGTGGCACAATCAGAGCTCACTGCAGCATTGAATTCCTGGGCTCAAGTGATCCTCCTGCCTCAGCCTCCAGGCCCGCCACCACACCCAGCAAATTGCCTTCAATTTTTTATAGAGACGGGCTAACTATGTTGCCCAGGCAGATCTCAAACTCCTGGCCTCAAGTGATCCTCCAGCCTTGGCCCCCCAAAACGCTGGGACTATAGGCATGAGCCTGTACACCTAGCCAGTAATCTTTTTTAAATAAAGAAGAAATATTTCCCTTACCATCAAGTGAGATAATATTTATTTAAGTAGTTTATAATCTCCGAACCACAACACATTGGTGCCTTGTTGTCATTTATGTCTGCTCCAAAATGGCATCATATGGCATCATAAAGCACTCTCAGAGCCCTGCTTTCTACTGGGACACCTGTGTGGTGCCCACAGGTAGCTGATCTCACCAGCCACACACCATCCAATTCTGTACCATACACGCTTGGCCCCTGTACCCATACACAAAGAGCATTTCGGGATAGGCTTGCTTCAGTACCTTGCTCAGCTGTATTCTCTCTTGTCTCTGCAGTTCTGAATGACATCATCTCAACCATGTTCAATAGAAAGTTTATGGAGGAATTATTCAAACCCCAAGAGCTCTACTCCAAGAAGGCCCTGAGGACTATCTATGAGCGCCTGGCCCATGCCTCCATTATGAAACTGAACCAGGCCAGCATGGATAAGGTGAGCAGACAGCTGCCTTTGTCATTTTGGTTGCATTTTTTGTAGCTTTTGTGGTTGCCCATTGCCTGGGCTCACAGAAGATGACGTATGCAGTGGTTCCATGCAAGAAATAAGCATGTGTAAATACTAGTAGTTGTTGAATTTTGGAGTTGGGAAAGACCTCAGAAGTCATCCACAACCACCTCTGTGTTGTTTATGTCATTCCAGCTGCCCAAAGAGAGTGCTGGGTTTTATTTGTTTTTGAGACAGGGTCTCACTCTGTTATACAGGCTGGAGTGCAGTGGTGTACTCATCGCTCACTGTAGCCTTGATCTACCAGGCTCAAGCAGTTCTCCTGCCTCAGACTCCCAAGTAGCTGGGACTACCGGCACATGCCACCACACTGGCTAATTTTTTAATTTTTGTAGAGACAGGGTCTCACTTTGTTGCCAAGACTGGTCTTGAACTCCTGGGCTCAAGCGATCCTCCTGCCTCAGTCTCCCAAAGTGCTAGGATTACAGGTGTGAGCCACTGCATCTAGACAAGAGTGCTGGCTTTTATGCCCGTATTTATGAACCCCAGGAACACATCCCTTAACACAATAAAAGCACTCAACCCTGGCTGGGCATGGTAGCTCACACCTGTAATCCCAGCACTTTGGGAGGCCTGAGGCAGGCAGATCACTTGAGGTCAGCAGTTTGAGACCAGCCTGGCCAACATGGTGAAACCCCATTTCTACTAAAAATACAAAACTTTGCTGGGCATGGTGGTGGGCGCCTGTAATCTCAGCTACTCGGGAGGCTGAGGCACAAGAATCACTTGAACCCAGGAGGCAGAGGTTGCAATGAGACGAGATCACGCCACTGCACTCCAGCCTGGGTGACAGAGTAGGACTTTGTCTCAAAAATAAATAAATAAAAAGTTTTTAAAAAAAACACTCAACCCTAAAACTTTAATTCTGCCTCATTCCTCACAAATATCAGCTCTACAATGCAGAAACCAAATATTTTTTAGAGCAAGTTAAAAAACAGTCTTTACTCATAATGTGAACTCTATTTCTTTGGGAAACAAATTATTGGAATGCTCTGATTCTTTAATAATTCCTTCAAGAATATATCTACCTCTGAATAATAATAATTCTATATAAATGGCAAGGGACAGATAAGTCTGTTTGGAAGAATTCTAAATGATTTATGCATATACTCTGCCCTGAGGGAGGGAGAGTGTAACTCCCCCACTACTTAGGTGGGGGCTGCACTTCAAAGAGTATGGTATGGGAAGGAGGGAAGAAATAGTTAGCTTTACAGTAGAGAAACTTGATAAACTACCCCAACCAGATGGTCAAGGTCAACATCAACAGTGATGAGTCATGTTGCCAGTATGTACCCTGCCATGATGTGATGCAAATGGTGCTTCACTTCTGTGGTCTTCCTCCCCGAAACTCAGAACCCCAGTCTAACCGTAAGAAAAACATCACACAAATACTGTCAGGCAGTCGTGCTTACAAAATACCTGACCAGTACTCAAAACTGTCGAGGTCACCAAAATCAAGGAAAGTCAGAGAAACTGTCACAGCCAAGAGGAGCCCAAGGACACATGACAACGGAATATAATGTGGTGTTCCAAAAAAAAAATCCCTGGCTGGGATTTTGGAACAGAAATAGAATGTTAGGGGGAAAATAATAAAATCTTTAAAGTTTGGTTTTTAGTTAATTTAAAATATAATAAGAATTCCTTTATAGCTTCCTCTATTACATGAATGAGGACTACCAGGCACGGCATCTTGTGGCTCTAATTACAGCGCTTTGGGATTGAGGTCAGGAATTTAAGACCAGCGTGGGCAACACAGCAAGATCCAATCTCTACAAAAAAAATTTTAAAAGGCTGGGTGCAGTGGCTTATGCCAGTAATCCCCACACTTTGGGAGGCCAAGGCAGGAGGATCGTTTGAGCCCAGGAGTTCGAGACCAGCCTTGGCAATATAGCAAGACCCTGTCTCTAAAAAAATAGAAAGAAAAAAATTTTTAAATCATGATGACTGATGGTGGGAGTTAGATTTGCAGAATTAGCACTTACTTATTACTAGTACTTAGAAGACTCAGGGAGACAGACTGCCTTTAACTGTGCCCTCTTACCTCTTGCCACTTACCTTTGGGAAGTTACTTTACCTCTCTGAGCCTCCATTTTCTCATCTGTAAAATGGGGATAATAAATGCTACTTCATCAATTATTGGGAGGATTAAGTGAGAAACATACCTAGGCCTGGCATGTAGCTGTTCAATAAATATTAATTATCTTTTCAGTTCTGCTTGCTATTCTCTCTCTGCCTTTAAAATTTTAGAGACTGAGCACAGTAGCTCACACCTGTAATCCCAGCTCTTTGGGAGCCCCAGGTGGAAGGATCACTTGAGCCCAGGAGTTCAAGACCAGCCCGGGCAACATAGCAAAAACCCATCTCTAATATTTTTTAACATATTTTACAAAACTATAGTGAGACTTCATCTCTACTAAAAATTTAAAGAACTCACTGGGCACAGTGGCACACAGCTGCAGTCCCAGCTACTCAAGAGGTGAGACGGGAAGACAGCTTGAGCAGGGGAGGCTGAGGCTTCAGTGAGCTGTGTTCACGCCTCTGTACTCCAGCCTGGGTAACAGAGTGAGATCCCCATGTCAGAAAGAAAGAAAGAAAAGAAAAGGAAGTTTAAATTTCCATAGTGGAAGGACACAGAACTTAAAATAAAAAAAAAGTGAGTTCAAGCCGTAGCTCTACCAGTTACTAGCTGTGAGACCCGATTTACTGAAATACTCTGAACTGTCATTCCTTCATCTTATAGCTGTTTTTATCCTTTATTTCTAGCATGGTGTCCTATATACGAGCACTTAATGTTTGAAAATGATGGCAGAGAGTCTCAAATCTGTATCTCCAGTATTGTACTTTCCCCACCCCCATGCACACACACCAGGCTATTCCTGTTTTCTCGGGGGGGGGGGGTTATTTTATTTTATTTTTTTGAGAGAGAGTCTTGCTCTGTCACCCAGGCTGGAGTGCAGTGGCACTAACTCAGCTCACTGCAACATCCACCTCCCGGGCTCAAGTGATTCTCCTGCCTCAGCCTCCCTAGTAGCTGGGATTACAGGCATGCACCACCACACCTTGCTAATTTTTGTATTTTTAGTAGAGATGGAGTTTCACCATGTTGGCCAGGCTGGTCTCAAACTCCTGACTTAGTGATCTACCCGCCTCAGCCCCTCAAAGTGCTGGGATTACAGGCGTGAGCCACCACGCCTGGCCGACTGTTCTGGTTGTATGCCACCTTCTTTTTTTTTTTTTTTTTTTTTAAATAAAAGATGGGGCTTCACCATGATGGCCAGGCTGGTCTTGAACTCCTGGCCTCAGGTGATCCACCTACCTCAGCCTCCCAAAGTGCTAGGATTACAGGCGTGAGCCACTGCGCCCGGCTGTGTGCCACCTTCTAAGTGGAAATGTGTGGTGGTATTAGGAGAAATGGGATGATGTAGAGGGATCCTGGCACGTGCCTTAGAATCTGATAGTCTTGAGGTCAAATATCATTCTGCATTTACCAGCAATGTGAAATTAGGCAAGTTTCCTCATTTTTAAACTGGGCTAATACCTAACTCATAGAGTTCTTGTGAAAAATAAATGAGATCAAATGAGATAATATATATACATGTGCTTGGCACGACACTCAAATTGTAGTTGTTTATAGTTTCAGTCCTGCCCCAGACATGTCCGTAAGTTAACTGTCCATCTTCTCTCCTTGCTCCTCCACTCCCACATCCCCCAGATGTTCTTTCCTCCATCAACAGCATCATTCCGACCAGGCGCAGTGGCTCACGCCTGTAATCCCAGCACTTTAGGAGGCTGAGGCAGGCAGATCCCAAGGTCAAGTGATCGAGACCATCCTGGCCAACATGAAACCCCGTCTCCACTAAAAATACAAAAATTAGCTGGGTGTGGTGGCTCATGCCTGTAGTCCCAATTACTCAGGACGCTGAGGCAGGAGAATCACTTGAACCCCAGAAACAGAAGTTGCAGTAAGCCGAGATCATGCCACTGTACTGCAGCCTGGGAAACAGAGTGAGACTCATCTCAAAATAATAATAATACTAATACTAATAATAGCATAATTCCTCCCCATCAGCACTAGGCTGAAAAGGCTGCAGTCCTTCTGGACCACCCTGATCATCATCCCCCAAATCAAGGCAGTCACCGCCTACTGACAGCTTTTCCTTCTACATGTGGGATGATCCTTTCTCTGACTCTCCATTCCCACTATCTTTTTTCCAGTCCTTAAGTCTGTATTACTCCAACAGCATTTCTTTCATTCCTGCCATCAGTAGATAATTATTGTAATCCTTTTAGAAGCCAGGTGCTAGCTATTCTCCCTAACCCATCTCTCCCTTCCCTCACATCTCATGGTTGCCAGACCTCATTCAGGCACCACTGTGATCATGTCAGCTCGGAAAACTAACCCCTAACTTCTACCACATCTAGTCAAAATTGTTTTGCCTCTCTCTCTAAAACCTTTATTCTGTTTTTAATAATTCAGCTTTTAGTATATATATAGGAGGTCTATGCACAGGTTTGTTACATGGGTATATTGTGTGATGCTGAGGTCAGGGGTGCAACTGAGCCCATCAGTCAGGTAATCAGCATAGTCCCCAGTAGTTCTTTTTTCAGTCCTTGACCCCTCCCTCCTTCCCTCCCCATTCTTGTGGTCCCAGTTTCCATTGTTGCCATCTTTATTTGCCATACTTACCCAACTTTATTACCTGCCATCCTCAACACAAACCGTCCTCAGGCCATTCTCCTCTTTCTCCCAGAAAAATAACACACTCATTGCTACCTCCAGGCCCTCACATGTACGTTTCCCTCAACTGGAATGCCTTTCCTCCGCCCTCAGCTGGTTGAAACCCTGCAGCCGCCTCAAGGGCTATGTAAGGCCACGTGTGCCACGAAGCCTGTCTTCACCACATTGGTCCCCACCAGTTCCTCCCTTCTGATCTTTCATTGGTGGTCATACACACCTATGTGGAGAGGGCTTGTTGATATCCACACAGTTCATCACTTGAAGTGATTCTTACACAGCTATAGAACTCTATACTTGCCACTTGCACACATATTGCCTCATATATTCCTCTCAGCACCTCTGCAACATTGGGAAATTGGAGAGTATTTTTTTACAGATGAGAAAACTCAGGCCCAAAGTTAAGAAACTTGGTCAAGGTCATACAATAAGTTAGGAGGAAAGGGGTTCTTGAATTTGCATTTTCTTTCTCCAGTTCCAGTGCTCAGTTTGGGACTCCACTGCTACTGATATTATTTCATATGTATCCCATTAGCAATACACATCAGGTGACTGGAAATCCTGGTTTGCACAGGAATGTGCTGGCTTACTCCTGTTGTCCTGGCTTAATTCTTATTATTATTTTTTTTTTGAGACGGAGTCACACACTGTCACCCAGGCTGGAGTGCAGTGGTGCGATCTCAGTTTACTGCAAACTCTGCTGCCCGAGTTCAAGCAGTTCTCTTGCCTCAGCCTCCCAAGTAGCTGGGATTGCAGGTGCCTGCCACCTCATCCAGCTAAGTTTTGTAGTTTTAGTAGAGATGGGGTTTCACCATCTTGGCCAGGCTGGTCTTGAACTCCTGACCTCATGATCACCCCCCCTTAGCCTCCCAAAGTTCTGGGATTACAGGAATGAGCCACCATGCCCAGCCCTGGCTTAATTCTTAATAGCACCTGCTTTGACTCTCAGAAGTGTCTTGGTTTGGGTGATAAGTGATATGGTTACCCAAGCTGCATGGCAAGCCCAGAGTTGGTTTTCAGTAAATCCTTGACTGAATCACTGTTTGGAGATTCTCAAACGTGATTTTTATCCCATTTCTTTTGCTTGTGTGTGGGGTTAGCAGCTCTATGACCTGATGACTATGGCTTTCAAATATCAAGTATTGCTGTGTCCCCGACCCAAGGATGTGCTGCTGGTCACTTTCAATCATTTAGATACCATCAAGGGATTCATCCGAGACTCCCCAACCATCCTGCAGCAAGTGGACGAGACTTTCCGGCAGCTGATAGAAGTAAGAGTGCCATCAGTTTCTTGCCCCTCAGCCCCAGTCCTTTTTTTCATCCCTCTGTTAAGAACAGGAAGATTCTATGACACAAAGAACAGGATGAGGAATGGCAAAGCCTGCCACTGTCCCAGAATGTTCTGAAAATCTATCTGTGTCCATTTTGGTAATGTAATAGGGATCATCATCTTACACCCTCTTAACTGTTGCCTTCACAGTTGAAAAAGCAATCATACAGAGCATACCCATTTTCTCCTCACTTCTCTGAAAGGGAGTTGGTGGTGGATGTTCTGCTAAATCTTGGGGAACAGCCTCTCCAGGTCTGTGGAAAATGGGAGAGAGGAAGCATACCCTTGCTCAGGTGTGGGTAACAAACTTTGTCACCCTAGTGAGGGAGCACTGCTGGTCTCCCTGCTGCTCCTCCTGCCCAGCAGCCCAGTCCTCTCCTTGCCTATCTGGCTCCCATCCCTGAGCACCCACCCGCCCCACCTGTGCGTATTACTCATCCCTCTTTGAAAGTGAAGTTCTACTTTCTGCTTGCCTTTGGCAGATATATGGTGGTCTTTCTGCAGGGGAGTTCCAGCTGATCCGGCAGACGCTCCTCATCTTCTTCCAAGACCTGCACATCCGAGTAAGTCAATGGGCAGCCCCAGGAACACCCAGGAGCTGCTGTACCAGAAAAACAACCCTGGCAGTCATCAGGGCAGACAAGCACAGAGATTTTGACCAGTTAGTGATGTCCTCAGGGTTTGCCTCCCTAATGATAAAGATATTGATAATAAATCTCAGCAGTTTTTAAATGGACCAAGGAAGACAGTGATGCTGCCATTCTTTTCTGATTACCTTGTGAGTTTCTTTGAAATGTGGTTTATTGTGTTACTTCTCCAGAGGAAATGTGCTTTCAAGTCACCAGCCTGATCTCAACTGCAAAACTGTTTCTTGAGCTTAAATTCTCCTTGACCGCTCCAGTATCTGACACTGTCAGGAGGCTGCCCCTACTCCATGGAACTCTCACCTTTCCAGGTCTTTCATGGTTCCGTACCATCCTGGCCCTCCCTTCCCTTCCCTCTCCCATCTCAATGCCTTTTACTCCTTCCTCTCTCTCCACCTGTCTCCAAACCTTCCTCCTGTCTCTACCCACTTCCTGCTAATTAGGGGTCTCCTTCCTCGCCCTGTTGTCTACCAACCTCCCTGCCTGTGCCTCCTGAGTCTAACCTCTAGTCTACCCTGGCCCCACCCCTGCCTTCCAGACCCACATCTCCACCACCTTGCTGCTAAAACTTCCCACCAGGATGCCCACCAGTGCCTACAACTTGATGTCTGTAGCTAAACTAATCTCCACAGTTCAGGTGCTGCCCTGACTTTCTCATTTCTTTTGAGGGCACCACCACCATTCTCCCACGCACTTGGCCCAGAATCAATGTCACCTTTGATTCCCCTTCCCTGATCTTCATCCAATTGCTTCTAAGACCCATAGAGTTGGCCAGGTGTGGTGGCTCATGCCTGTAATCCCAGCACTTTGGGAGGCCAAGGTGAGTGGATCACCTGAGATCAGGAGTTCAAGACAAGCCTGGCTAACGTGGTAAAACCCCATCTCTACTAACATACAAAAATGGCCAGGCAAGGTGGCTCACACCTGTAATCCCAGCAGTTTGGGAGGCCGAGGAGGGTGGATCACCCGAGGGCAGGAATTCAAGACCAGCCCTGTCAAGATGGTGAAACGCTGTCTCTAAAAAAATAAAAATGAGCTGGGTGTGGTGGTAGGTGCTTGCAGTCCCAGCTACTTGGGAGGCTGAGGCAGGAGAATTGCTTGAACCCAGGAGGTGGAGGTTGCAGTGAGCCAGGATCACGCTGCTGCACTCCAGCATGGGTGACAGAGCGAGACTCCATCTCAACATAAAAAAGACCTATAGATTTGGCCTTGTGAATATCCATACCTTCTTTTCCTTTTTTTTGAGACAGTGTCTTACTGTGTTTCCCAGGCTGGTCCCTAACTCTTGGGCTCAAGTGATCCTCTTCCCTCAGCCTCTCAAAGTGCTAGGATTACAGGTGTGAGCCACCATGCCCTGGCACTCCTTCCTCTCCATCTCTGTTGCCACCATCCTGGCTCAGGCCCTCATACTCTTGTGGGCTATGCTTCCCAACTGGCCCCCTCTCCTCCTGCCACGACCACATAGCCAGGCAATTCTACACTCAAACTTTTAAAAACACATTTTCTGGCCAGACACAGTGGCTCACGACTATAATCCTAGCACTTTGGGAGGCCAAGGTAGATGGATCACTTGAACCTGGGAGTCTGAGGTCAGCCTGGGCAACATGACAAACCCCATCTCTACCAAAAATACAAAATTAAGTGGGCATGGTGGTGCATGTCTGTACTCCCAGCTATTTGGGAGGCCGAGGTGGGAGGATCACTTGAGCCCAGGAGGTCAAGGCTGCAGTGAGCCAAGATCATGCTACTGTGCCCCAGCCTGGGCTGAGACCCTGTCTCAAAAAACAAACAAACAAATAATAAAAATAAAATAAAAACACATTTCTGTAGCCTGGGTAACATGGTAAAACCCCATCTCTACAAAAACAAAAATTAGCCAGCCATGGTGGCATGCGCCTATAGTCCCAGTTACTTGGGAGGCTGAGATGGGAGGACGGCTGCAATGAGCCTTGATGAATCCAAGATTCAGAGTAGATGTCAGAGTGAGACCCTGTCTCAAAAAAAAAAAAAAAATCTGAGCTTCTGAATTTTGAACGTATCTCTCTTGGACAGGGCTTTGTTTCTTCCCATTATTTAACCACATAATATGGGAAGGATGGTATGATATGGTAAAACAAGCCCAGGCTCTGGTGCCAGACCTGTTTCTCTTTTTTCTTTTTTTTTTTTTGAAACAGGGTCTCACTTTGTCGTCCAGGCTGGAGTACAGTGGCACAGTCATGGCTCACTGCAGCCTCGACCTCCTGGGCTCAAGTGATCTTCTACCTCAGCCTCTTGATTAACTGGGACTACAGGGGCATGGCACCACGCCTGGCCAATTTTTTGTATTTTTTGTAGAGACAGGATCTTCCTATGTTGTCCAGGCTGGTCTTGAAATCCTGGGCTCAAGCGATCCATCTGCCTAGGCCTCCTAAAGTGCTGGGATTACAAGTATGAGCCACTGTGCCCAGCTTCACCTTTCTCTTTGAATCTCAACTCCAGAGCTGGGCATAGTGGTGAGTGCCTGTAGTCTAAACTACTTGGGATATTGAGGCAGGAGGATTACTTGAGCCCAGGAGTTCAAGACCATCCTGGGCAATATAGTGAGACTTTGTCCTTAAAATAAATTTTTGAGACAGAGTCTCACTCTGGAATGCAGTGGCGTGATCTTGGCTCACTGCAACCTCCACCTCTCAGGTTCAAGTGATTCTCCTGCCTCAGCCTCCCAAGCAGCTGGGATTACAGGTGCCTGACACGACACCCAACTAATTTTTGTATTTTTTTTAAATTTTGTATTTTTAATAGAGACGGTGTTTTACCATGTTGGCCAGGATGGTTTCGAACTCCTGACCTCAGGTGATCCACCCACCTCAGCCTCGCCTCCCAAAGTGCTGGGATTACAGGTGTGAGCCACGGTACCCATCCAAAATAAAAATATTTTAATGAAGAAAATGAATAACAACTATAGGACTTGCTCCATGACCTTGGGCAAATAACCCTTAGTTTCTTCATCTGAAAAATGAAAATTATAATAACTAATTTTGTTGGGAGGATTAACAGAAACAGCATACGTAACATATATGTGTTTGTATATATAGAGAGAGTGCTTCTGGAAGCATATGCAAGAAACTGGTCACAGTGTTGCCTTCCAGGAGTGGGGAACTACATGTAAGACAGGAGTAGGAGAGACACCGACTCTTCGTTATGTTTACCTTTTGAGACTTTTGAATTTTGTACCTGGGCAAAATACAATTTTAAAAAAGGAGAAGCAGCCGGGCACGGTCGCTCACGCCTGTAATCCCAGCACTTTGGGAGGCCGAGGCGGGAGGATCACAAGGTCAGGAATTCAAGACCAGCCTGGCCAACATGGTGAAACCCCATCTCTACTAAAAAAAATACAAAAATTAGCCGGGTGTGTGGTGGCAGATGCCTGTAATTCCAGCTACTCGGGAGGCTGAGGCAGAGAATTGCTTGAACCCAAGAGGCAGAGGTTGCAGTGAGCC